TCTCTTTCTTTCTCTCTTTCTCTTTCCCTCTCCCTCTCCCTTAATTAGCTCAGTCATTGTTCCTGGATATATTTCTGTGGTCCCAATGATGCTTTCTGTGCGGTTTTTAAAAAGGTGATCATGTCCCCATTTTATGGATGTCACAGAAGAAACCATTTATAGGAGATACCAGGGCTCCTGGGTCCTTATTGATGATGAACACTTCTCATATATTGAATTGCTTTAACATAAATACACTTCTTAAATATGTCAGCATAAATATATTTTTTTCTCTTAACCACTATGCTGTTTTCTGTGTATCTGTAGTTTTACACATGTGCCTAATATGTAAAATGGGAAATAAAGATGGATAGTGTTGGAGAAAGAATGAACATGGATTGGTGCAGTGGGCAGGGGACATGGGGACAGTACTTGACTCTAATATTTTACATTGCTATCCCAGAAATATTTCATGATCAAGGCCATTGGAAGGGAATGCTAATGTTTGAATGGTAAGAGAAGAATATTTCAAAGCACTGCTTCTAATCTTTGATCATTTATACTCTCTTATTATGAAGTTTTGTTTACATCTAAGTATTTACATCTAAATATCTGATTTCTAATTTATAAAGTGGGAATAAAGTTTCCTTTCCTTTTAAAAGTATACCTTGAACAACAACAAAAAAAGACATGAAAACATCATTGCTCCATGGCCCAATCATTACTTTTAGTTTCTTTTGTTTTATCAGTGACATGCTCTCAGATCTGATCTAGCCCATTTCAAATCCACCCACTCACTCTTTTCTTATCCCTCTTATAAAAACACTTTTTAGATAGTGACAATCACACATCTTGGCCATTCTCTTGGCTTGCCATTTAAGTGTCTTTTAGGCTTAAGGAAGGGTCTTATTCTAAAGTCAAGATTGAGAATTACGAGCGTTGTCTTTTAGTTAAGGACTGACAGTAGGAGAGTCTCATAAAGAAATGTAAGGCTCTGGAATTTTGCTTTCTCTTGATTCAGAAAAATCTAAACCTGTTGCCATCAGGGCATTACACAAAGCACATCTGTTAAATCAGGATTTTCCTGATAAAAATCAACGTGGGCTCTCTTGACAGTCTGACCTATTTGAATTCTGTTGGGCTGCTATGCGTGTGCCGGGAGGATCCCTCAAAGAGTGGATATTATCAATCAGAATTTAAAAATCCACTCAGCTGTAGTAGAACCATTATCCATGACCCATTAGAAATGATCCGTCCAATCTTCAGCTAATCAAATGCAGTTTTATTAACCGCTATACATTTTTAATAGCCCACTGGCTCTGTTCCTTGTGATTCAAGGTCTGCTTCACAAATCACTTGTCATGCTCCTCTGCCTTATAATACCAGCATAACCTTTTGCTCTATCTTGCTGTCAAAACATCGCAATTCGATTTGATGCAATTTTATGCTACATGCGTGTGCCTCTCTGTAAAGTACAGAACAGCAGAAATAATTGACCACCACATCTGAGACGTTGTTTTCTTTTTTTTCTTTTTCTCTTCTCCTAATACCTGTAATAATTAAAACTCTAAATTAAAAGATTGACGGCAGGGTTCATCCTCAAGACCTTCTGTTCATCGGCACAGGAAACAAGACGTGAGCTGTGTACAGTGGCTGGCCCAAGCTGCAGGAGTAATGGAAGCTTCGTTTGCTCAGCCTGCCAGAGGACCCCATGGCTGAGGCAGCTAACACAGGGTGCCTTGGAGCCATCCCGGGGTGCCCACACCAGTGGCCGACTGGCATGAAAGGCCCACATTTCCAGGACTTCTGAAATGGGAGACCTTATATTGCCTGAAACAAAAACGATTCCACCCATGCATTGACTCTTCCCTGGCTGTTTTGCAAGACATAGATCGTTTCCAGATGTTTGGCTTACATTTGCCAAGTAGGTGCTCAGTTCAAAGTGCCTGTGGCATTGCACATCAGTAGCCATCCGGGCGATACTCAGAGAGGCATTAAAACTGGACGTGTCATAGAGATCTAACTAATAATGGTACAGCCTGTTTTTCTCTTATCTGACCCTTGAAACACCATGTAATGTGTTTTGGTTGAGAAGTGTCTTCTTGCTTTCTGTTTTTATGTACACAGCATCAGAAAGGGACACAGGAAATCTATGAGAGCCCAACCTAAAGTCAGATGAGACGAGACTAGAAATTAAGTTTCTGGCAGGAAACCACATACGCTTTGAAATCCGGTATAATATGCAACGAAATCATCTCTTGCTTGTCTCTGTCCTGTAACAATAGTCATGATGCTCTTTTAGGAGAGAAATCGGCCCTTTGTTCTCTCTTCTTAGGGGTGCATTATATCTTTATAATGAGGGGAACTGCTGGGCTGGTGCTGAAGCACTTGCTGAGGTGCCTTCCTGACAATTCACGGTCTTTGAGAAAAACTTAATTTTCCTTTTAATATCCCTCCTATGGATATAGAGTCAGATTTCATTATTTTCTTTATCTATAGTTTCCTTAGCCATATCAAAGATGCAACCCAGGAACCAATTGTTTAAAAATGAAAAAGGGCTGAAAGCCTTTTATGGCTCCCACTATTGAAATACACTAGAAGCCCTGGAAGAGAAAGACGTTTGCTTGTGCGTATCTAGGAAAGCAGTGCGATGTCATTGCAGAGAAGGACCTCCAATGGGTCCTTCTGCATTTCTGCAGGAAAATTGGACCCCCCACCCCATACAGGGCTAGGTCATACCAGGGACCTGGTTATAAGGACGAAATACACAATTTCTGCTCTGTAACAGTTTTTGGGGTGACAGAGGAACCCAAATGAGCACACAGTGCGGGTTCTGTATCTTCGTCATGCACACAAATGTAGGGTGTGTCATAGAAACGGTAAGTGAGCACAGCCTCACAGAAAGGAGGTTCCCAGAAAACGCTGACAAATTAAATCCACACAGCCGTTGGGAGGTGTCCATATAGATAACACATGCATCTCTGATGTGCATCAGAGGGACGAAGGGAGAAATGTCTTTTCCAGCTCTCCTAAGAATACTCTTTCATGTAGTGTTACCCAGCTGAATGGGTCACGGCATCATGAGAAGATGAAGGGATGAAGGACTTCACGGGGAGGAAGCAGAGAGTCCCAGGCCCTGACAAGGCAGTGAGCTCGGGGTTTCTCGAGACCCAGAAAGGCCAGAGTGTCCAGGATAAAGTGACAGAGTGGGATGCAAAAGGGTGGCAGGTGTCAGGGCACACAGGACCTTGGAAGCCAAGGTGGGGAGTTTGGTTTTTCCATGGTCTCCAAGGGAAGCCACCAGAACATTTAAATCGGGAGAGTGACGTGATCTGGTTTATGTGTTGGTAAAGCCGTTGGCGTTTCTGTGCAGAAGGTGGTCTGTGGAGGAGGCTCTGCAGGCCTGTCTGGGAGTCTGTGATGCATGTAGGCAGGACGTGGCTGGAGCAGGAGTATTGGCAAGCAGTGTGTGGAGTGGGGAGAGATGGAACGGATGGGATTTGATGGGGGATTGAACAGGGAGATTGAAAGACTTAGTGGACAGCAGAGGGTGACAGACATTTGGTCTCAGCTACATGGAAAATGTAACCAGGACACTGTAGAAGATGAGGATGGACGGGGAGCTTCCTAGAGTCCGTTCTTTGGAGGGACTAGTGACGAGGACTGCTGTGGACCTTCTGCACGTAAGGGACCTTGGACTTTGGTCATTGGCTCTGGGGTGGGCAGGGCGGGCAGGAAGGAGGAGAAGCTGGAATGAGAAGGCAGCTCCAGCAGCCTGCAGTTGTGGGTGATAAAAATAGCATTGGAAAGAAAAAAGCCAGGAAACATTACAGAAAGTTGGCCCACCAGTTGTGCCAAGGCACAGCCAAAACCATGGCTCCACGTACCTCACGCAGAGAAAAATCACTTAAACTGGGCGAGGGAGGGAGCATCTTACAGATGAATCCGCGAACAGGTTCCAACATTTTTTTTTTAATTTTTTTTTTAATTTTTTTAATTGGGGAATTGGGGGGATGGGAACAGTGCCGGGGAGTTGGGGGAAGGGGAACAGACAAGTTGCTGTCGTTTTTTTTTCTTCAGTCTAGTTGTGGAGGACGTTGCTTCACTGGCCCAAGTTGGCACCATCATTGCGCTATTCCCGGGCAAGGCAGATCAGTTGCCGGTTTCTGGACAGCCGCTCACTGCGGCTGCTGGCCGCTCACGCTGGCTGCTGGCTACACACGGTAGCCCATGGCAACCCACTGCAGCAGGGGCTGCAGCCTACGCCGTCGCAGGCAACTCACGGCAGCCCAGCTCCAGGTCGAGCTGTTGTTCAGCATCTTAGCTGTGGAGGGCAGTGTCACTGGCCCTCATATGTGGGATCCGAACCGGGGCCCTCTGGCGTCCCAAGCCAGTTCTTAACCATTGTGCCACTCGGCCGGCCCAGGTTCCTACATTTTAGCTGTTTGTTTTTATACTACAGACCCAACGCTTTTTTTTTCTTTATTTTTTTTAGAGGATTGGATGTAATGAATGAACCAAGGGGAAAAAAACCTGGATTTGATCTCAAACTTGGTTTCCAATTAGTGGGGACACAAATGCAGTGCGGCCACACGTGACCAAGAGATCCTAACCAGGGGAGGAAAAAGGAAATAGATTAACATAGTTCTTTGAACGGGCAAAAGGAGGTCGTTTCATATGATAGCTAATTAAAACCCTCTAACTTTGGCTTATAAAACGTTTCCGTGTGTCCATTTAAACACAAGAGGATGTGCCTTTCAGGAAGTTCGTTGACATGCAATGAATCATTGGAGTGCGAATCAGACTTAGGAGACTCTGCCAAGATTCTTTGCTTCCCAGCACCAGCTCTGGACTGGGGAAAGATGGCTTTCTTGATTCTTCTAGAAAGATGATCTTTCTTGAGCCTTCCCAGGAAGATTATGGGAAGACACTACGTGTTTGTGTTCGGTGTCCTGGAGAATAAGCGGTGGCGAGGTCAGCAGTGCCCTGATTACGATCCTTCATTCATTCATTTGACACATACGAATTACACTCCGGGCCAGAAGTGTGTGATAAATAGTCAGAGCTCTTTGAGGTTGGTTAACTAGATCAGATGCATCTTTCTATCCCTCACAGCACCGAGCGCTGCTGTGTGAATTAAATGAATGAGTCTGGCGATGGGAAAGGTGGCTGTGACTGGCGTATGTAGAGAAGCCTCACGGACAATGTAGAATTTTAACTTGTCCATTAGCAGACGGATGGTCTATCCAGACATTGAAAGAAGTAAGGAGTTATAGCTGCTAATAAATTTAGAAGTAAGATTTGCCTCCTAACCCAAATGTGACCAGATTGACTTAAACCAACCACCCATCCATCCACCTGTCCGTCCACCCATCTGTCCATCCATCCATCCATCCATCCATCCATCCATCCATCCATCCATCTATCCACCTGTTCGTCCATCCAATCATCCATCCATCCACCCATCTGTCCATCCATCCATCCATCCATCCATCCATCCATCCATCCATCCATCCACCCATCCACCAGTTCGTCCATCCAGTCATCCATCCATCCACCCATTCGTCCATCCAATCATCCATCCATCCACCCGTCTGTCCATCCATCCATCCATTCATCCATCCACCCATCCACCTGTTCGTCCTTCCATTCATCCATCCATCTATCCATCCATCCATCCATCCATCCATCCATCCATCCATCCATCCATCCATCAAACAATTCATTTAGTACCCATGGTGTTCTAGGCATTGTGCTATATCCTAAGCATGGATTAAAAAATTAAATATTTACAGTCTCTGCCCTAATGAAACCTAGAGTCTAGTGAGGGAGCTAGGTTAGAAACAAACAAATAACTGAACTGAAAAACAAAAGCGAACAAACAAAAGAAATCCAATGTGTTTTTTTCTCGCGATGAGAACTTTTAAAATCAATCTGTGCTCTTGTCAACTTACAAGTAGACAATTCAGAGTTATGACCTGGAGTCACCCCAGTGTACAGATTACATCCCCAGGACTTATTTTTTAACTGGAAGCGTGTACCTTTTGTTACAAAAAAATGTGTAACTCTGTGGGGTGACGGATGGTAGCTGGACTTACTGTGGTGATCATGTCACAGTCTATACATATATCAAATCATGAGGCTGTGCACCTGAAACTAATATAATGTTATATGAATAAAGAAAAAAAAACCCAGATTGTTCTGATAGAAAATAATGAGGGGTTGGGTGACCAGGGAAGCCCTTGCTGAGGAGTGACATTGAATGTGGATGAGAAGCAGCCAGCTGTCCTGAGAACAGAGGCTTTGGTGGAGGAAGGGAAGCATTGAGATGGTTGATGTTCTGGGTACGGGGACCTACATGCAAAAAGCCTGAGACAGGAATCATCTGGGCTCTTTTAGGAACTGAGAAGGGGCTTTAGAACTCAAATTTTGAGGCTATGATTTGAATAAAAATGGGATAGCTGAGTGGAGATGTGGAATAAGGAGGAAATTAACCACCCAAAAGGAAGTGAAGTGTCACTGGTCATAGCCATCCATTTCATAAGGATGCACAGAGTCATTCCGGGCATAGGGGAGAGAGCAGTTGGAGGAAGAAGGAAGGAGAAGAAATCAGAAGATGTCTTGCACTCTAGAGGAAGAAGGGAAATCAGAAAGCAAGTAACTTAGTAAACAATCTAATTTCAGATCGTGATAAGGTGCTATGAAGGTGACACAATATCAAGGGACTGATAACGATGCTTTAAATAAGGAAGTCAGAGAAGACAGCAGCTACATAGCCTGGAGTGAGGGCATGTCCACAGAGCATGCGCAAGGGTCCTGACCTGTGGCTCTGGGACTGTTCTCACGCTCTCTCCATCCCACGGCACGCAAGCACAGGTCACGGCATCCTGCCCAGAGGTGGCCCGCCATCTCCAGCAAGCCACGGTTGTCCCGGAGCGCTCCACCTCCTCTGTGTCCTCGACTTTGGTCTCTTTCTGTCACCCTTATCTTTCAGCACCTTATTGTGTAACTTACCTTCCCACTCGAGCAACATC